AAGACCTTGAGGGGAGACAGCGCAGATGCAACATTCGAATATTTGGCGTGAGAGAGCACTTTGAGACTGGGACGCACCCTGTCAACTCTGTGGCCCAGCTACTAAAGGAGGTTTTGGCCCTGGATACCGCTCCGACACTGGATCGGGCACATCGCAGCCTCCAGCCCATCCCTGCGAGAGACCAGAGACCCAGGCCACTTATTGTCAAATTTCATTACGTTCAAGAAAAGGAGGAGGTACACAGTCCCCTGACGCATGATGGAGTCAAAATCCTAATTTTCCCGGGCCTGCCATCTGCAGTCGCGAAGAGACGGGGGGCCTTTAAAGAAGTTAAAGATCTACTGCGCGGATGTCGGGGTGTGAGATTCCGGATGCTATACCCAGCGAAGCTGAGGATTTCTTCTCCTCTTGGTGAGGAAATATTCACCAATCCAACGGCTGCTAAAGACTACGTCAGGAATCGCATCTTGGCTGTGTGTGGGAATCAAGACACGGGCTGAGTGGACTGTGCGACCTCAGTTGCTTTTTGACTCTCTATTGTTCACTGACTCAGACTGCACTTTCGAGAGGTTTGAACTTTTGCTTCTTTCATAATTTAATAGGTCTGCAAATAATTGTTTATCACTGAGTGAAGTAATCGACCAAGAGAAGTCACGTGTGCCTTTCCAATCTGCCAGATGTCTAACAACTGGGTCATAGTTGGCGTTCCCTGCTAGGGGCAACTTTTGTATTTGGGGAGTGAAGAGACATGTTGGATATAGTCAAAGGAGCTTGCAAAGAAAAGCGTCTGGACTTCTTTAAGTTGCTTGAAGACGTTTCACCTCTCATCCGAGAAGCTTCTTCAGTTCAGTTCAGAACTGAATGACCTGGATGACTGAGAACCTTCACAGACATGTTGGATATAAGCTCTTTTTGTTTTTGTTTTTGTCTGTCCCGTTTGGATCTTTTGCCATCAGAATTATTGTCTAAAGGCAAAGAAAGATGCCCAACTGCTTTACTGTACCAAATGGACCATCCCAGCCTTCCGTATTGGTCTATTTTATTCACCTTTGCTTTTATTGTTTATTTCATTTTCATTTGCTGAGCACGGGACAGACTTGACTGGGGAGAAGAAAAGGGAGAAAGAAGGAGGGAAAGAAAAAGAGCGGGGGATATAAGCTCTTTTGGGGGGCAGGGCGTAGTTTGCTCCCGATTTGTGGGAGTTACGTTTATAGTTACTCTGGGTTTTTACTTTTGCTCTTTTGTTGTTGTTTTTTTTTTAAATTTCTTTTTTTCTTGTTGGCTGCAGTTTTGTGCGTATACTTACCCCAAATTATTGTTCAGCTTGCCTGTCATGATTGTCTTGAAAGTGTGAATATGGCCAACTGTGTAACCAAAAGTGCTGCAACTACACCTGATTCTACTAAATTTATTACATGGAATGTGAAAGGCCTAAATAATTTTAGAAAATGCAAAAGGATATTCACTCATGTGTCAACTTTCAAACCGGACATTGTCTTTCTACAGGAGACACATCTGTGTTCCACGCAAAGCAAGAGGCTGTCACAAAGTTGGGTTTCCCAGGTCTACCATTCTGGATTTAAATCGCGGGGGTTGCCATTCTTGTTAGGAAAAATTTTCCCTTCATCACCTCAAATGTAAAATGTGATGTGAATGGTCGCTTTCTGATAGTTACTTGTAAGCTCCATAACACTCCAGTTATCTTGGTAAATACTTATGCACCAACTTGGGACAATCCACAATTTTTTATAAGACTAATTGGCCTGCTGCCAGACTTCAATACGCATCACCTGATTATGGGCGGGGATCTGAATCTGGTATTCGATCCCAACCTTGACAGGTCTAAGCCGCGTCAGTCTACTGGGACCTCCAGATCAGTGTCCGTTCTGAACACATTTCTTCAAAACTATGGCATTTCAGATCCACTGCGTATCACTGAGCCCTTAGCAAAATACGATTCCTTCTTCTCCCCCGTGCATCATTCGTATTCCAGGATTGATTATTTCCTTCTGGATATTTTATTATTATCCCAAGGGTCACTATGTGTAAATATCATGTAATTGTAATTTCTGATCATGCACCAGTGCAGGTTGATATCGCATATCCAAACGTGTGCGCAAGGCAGCGGTTCTGGAAATTTGACTCAGCATTAATGTCAGATGAGGAGTTTTGCAAGTTCATTGAACACCACATCGAGCTTTTTCTAGAAACAAATAACACTCCAGATGTTTCAAAATCTATAATTTGGGAGTCACTAAAAGCATATCTGCGGGGCCAAATTATTTCTTTTTCGTCTTATAAGAATAAAAAGCAAAACAAACGGCTCTGAGAGCTGACAGAGCTCATAGCTAACATTGACACACAATATGCTACCTGTCCAACCGCTGATTTATATAAGCAGAAGGTACTGCTGCAGTCTGAATTTGACACCCTCTCAATTAAAGAAACTGAGAAGCTCCTACTTAGATCAAGACATCATAAATACGAGCATGGTGAAAAAGCAGGTAGATATCTTTCGCATCAGCTTCGTCAATCCGCCGCAGCTCAGTCTATACCCGACATACAGTTAGACTCCGGTCAGGTGGTAACACACCCTGACGGAATTAATGCTGCTTTCAAGTTATTTTATCAGGATCTCTATACTTCCCGCACTGATTATTCAGAGGCTGACTTGGATTCCTTTTTGAGGAACATAGATACTCCCACTATTAACCCAGACCAACGTGAGCTACTAGAAAGACCTATTACCTCTGCGGAAATATTGCAGGCAGTTAATTCCTTGTAAAATGGCAAGGCACCGGGCCCAGACGGCTTCTCGTGTGATTTCTATAAATGCTTTGCTGGCGAGTTAGTTGCTTTACTGTCTGAGGTTTTTTCAGAAATTCAGGCAACAAGCACGTTGCCTCAAACTCTGTCCCAAGCCACTGTCTCTGTAATACTCAAAAAAGACAAGGACCCTCAAAAATGTGGATCCTATCGCCCCATTAGTCTACTGAATGTGGATTATAAGATCCTCACAAAAGCTCTTGCACTTCGTATTGAGAAGGTAGTACCTTCTATTATACATGAGGACCAAACAGGCTTTATAGTGAACCACCAGTCATATTTCAATATCAGACGGCTGTTAAATATCCTATATTCTGACCATTCAGTTGATCACCCCGAGATAATAGTCTCACTGGATGCCGAGAAGGCTTTTGACTGCGTGGATTGGCAATATCTGTTCTCCGTTTTGAAAAAATTTTGGCTTCGTTTCTAATTTTATTTCATGGATCAGGACTCTGTACTCAGCGCCCCTGTCTTCAGTCTGCACCAATAAGACCATTTCAGAATACTTTTCAGTACATAGAGGTACCCGACAGGGATGCCCCTTAAGCCCCCTGCTATTCAATCTGGCAATAGAGCCGCTGGCAGCAGCATTGAGAACGGACCCCAGAATAAGGGGGATCACTATTCATAAGTGCTCCTTGTATGCAGACGATCTCCTTCTGTATATTACAGATCCGGAGGCATCAATTCCTTCAGTTCTGGACCTCATTGGATCCTTTGGCCGCGTGTCTGGTTACAGTTTGAACCTGGCTAAAAGCACAATGTTCCCTATTAACAGTCTGGCAAAGGAGGCTGACTACTCAGCCTTTCAGTTTAGACTGGAACACTCCTCATTCACCTATTTGGGTATTCAAATCACAGACACTTATCAGGATCTTTTTAAATAAAATTTTACCCCTTTATTAGAGAAAACAAAATTGGTTTTGGCACGCTGGTCAGCATTACCCATCTCTCTTGCTGGGCGGGTCAACACAATTAAAATGGTAGTCTTGCCTCGATTCATGTACCTCTTCCAGATGATACCCCTTTTTCTTCCTAAAACCTTTTTCACCCAGTTAGACGGACTCATATCATCTTTTATTTGGGACAAAAAAGTTCCAAGAAAATCCCTGTTACAGTGTTCTAAGTCGGAAGGCAGCCTGGCCCTACCAAACTTTATGTATTATTGTTGGGCTGCCAATATTGTGAAACTATCCACCTGGATGCGGGCTTTTAGGGAGGGCAGAGGGCCGCCTTGGTCCACTATGGAGCTAGACGGTAATCTCACCATATCCCCTGTTGCAATACTGTGTTCAGGTCTACCAGTCAGTCGCAATGTTAATTTTAAAAATCCTGTGGTTAAGAACTCTCTCAATGTCTGGTTTCAGGGTCGACGACATTTCGGGCTGAGGCGGTCACTTGTCTGCTCCCCTATTGCATCAAATCATCTTTTTTTACCAGCTCAGAGCGATGCAGGATGCAGCATATAAAGGCAGACTGTGTCCACAGCCAGAAACACCTGAGAGCTGGACTTAAACCTCCAGATCCCAGACGACCTATGGGACCTTAGTGTGAGCAGGATGCATGAATCCTCAATCTTTATACGGCATTGTATAATACAGTTTAAAATTCTTCACCGGGCATACCTAACCAAAGCTAAACTAGCCAAAATATACAATACCTCTGATGATAGATGTCCAAGGTGCAAGCAATCACCCGCCACTATGAGCCATATGTTCTGGACCTGCTCTGATCTGAAACGGTTCTGGGAATTCGTTTGTAAGGTTATTTTATATATGTGTGGGAAAACAATTGATCCCAATCCGATGACAGCAGTCTTTGGTGTACTCCCAAACCACCACGGGATAACTTCTTATCAAATGAATGCAGTGGCTTTCTCATCTGTCCTGGCACGCAGGCTAATTCTTCTTAAATGGAAGGATTCAGGTCCGCCAGTGTTTGTTCAGTGGGTGAGAGAGGTGATGAGGTGCTTGCAGATAGAGCATCTGAGATACAGTTTGAGAGGGTCTCAAAGTAAATACTACAAAACCTGGTCATCCTTTGTTGAATATGTGGAGAAGTCGTCATTTACTGAAGTATGATGTATTACTGCTTTTATGTGTGTTTGGGTTTTTTCTCTTTCTTTCTTTAAACCCACCTACTATCTGTAGCAAGCCAAAAAGAACTGCACAATGCAGCCCCCCTTTTATTTATGTATTTATTCTATTCTATTTTTGTTTGTTTTGTTCTTTGGTGGGTTTTGTGGGGGGGGGTGTTTTTTTGCCTTGTTCACATGGTAGTTTTTATTTGTTTGTGCCCATGGATTATACGTTTTCCTGCATCCAACTGGTTTGCACTGTGTGGCGCAACCGGTTTCACAATGGCTGTGTTTGTAATCACAATTTGAGTTGTATTTTTCTGTACTTTTGTCATATTGGAAGATCATAAATAAAGTTGTCAAAAAAAAAAGAGTACTGCATCCAACACTCTACATTGTACTTGTGATATAAAGCTTCAGAAATGTTTGTAGTGCTTTTGCACAAGTCTGCTTGGTGCTTGATTCTAAATACCTGTGGCCACGGAAGTGATTGGAACACTTGAATTTAATGTGGATGAGTGAATCCCTCCAACAAAATAGTGTTCAGGTTGTTTTCATTCTTTTCTCCTAGCTTGTTCTTTATTGTGACTCTTCTTTATATAATGTAAAACATTTCAAAAACAAAAGATAGTATTTTAAGAAAGTATTTTTGTGGGAAAATGTATAATGTACTTCCACTTGGCAATAGTTAGCGTGTAAAGTTACTCATGTCAGGAGGGTGACGGGCCAGACTGGAAGTGTCCATGGTACACCTGTCTTAGCTGAAGGCACAACAAACCTGGGCTCCAACAGGCTCTTTCCTAGTTACAAAGACCACCTCTCCTGACCTTCCTGTTGTGAGACCTGAAGTGACAGCATGGATTCTGAGAAGACAATAAAACAAATACAAATATTAGGTGAATTGTGATTTTAACCAGTAGAAAGTCCTTCCTGATGCTCAGTGATCAACTGACCTCCGTGGAGGAGGAGGAGGAGGAGGGCTCTTGCCTGCCCTGTCTGGACTGTGCTTCATCTCCTTGTCTAAGCTGGAGCGGCGTGGTTTTTCCACCTGTGGCCGGCTGCTGCACTTGGCACCAGGAGAAGCTGATGAGGTAGCTGAAAGACCAACCGATGACTGAAGGTCCACAGCGGCTGCAGGAAGCTGTGACACTGCTGCTGGAGCTAAAAACATCACAATGCTGTCATTTAATAAACTGTCTTTCATATAAATGACAAAGAAAGTAGATTAATGTCTGCCTATTTTGAAATGTTTAATCAGCCTGGTTTCATCATGATGCCATCCAAGATGATCTTGAAACTGCTTTGAGAAGCTACTCTGCTCACTTAAAGGAACAATGAATGAAATTAACAACATGTGCACTAGAGGGACAACTGTGAGACAACTCCCAAAACAGGAAAGGTTTTATAGGTGGAAGCCACTGACATTTTTCCTCTCCTCATCTTTTCTGACTGTTGTTTCAGTAGTTTTGCATTTGGCTAGAGTCAGTGTGCCTACTGGTGCCACAAGGTGATACTTGGACCCTACAGAAGTCACAAAGGTAGTCCAACTCCTCCAGGAGTGTCTTTCAGCAGAGTCTCAAGAGCATGGAGGGGATTCCATGAGACAGGCAGTTACCCTATGAGAGAAGGAGGGGTCCGTCGAAAATCCTTAACCCATCAGCAAGGTCAACAAGGAATAGCGTGAGTGCTGACAAAGTTACAAAATGACCTCCATCAGGCCACTGGTGTGAATGTCTCTGATCAAACAATCAGAAACAGACCTCATGAAGGTGGCCTGAGGACCCGACATTCGCTACTGTGCTTATTGCCCAGCGCTGTGGAGCCCGACTGACATTTTAAAAAGAATAATAACTGGCAGCTGCACCACATCTGCTTTTCACAGACGAGCAGGTTCACCCTGAGCACATGTGACAGATGCAAAAGGGTCACAGGTCAAGGTCAAGGTTCTTTAGCAAAGGGAGAAGCAAAGAAGAATGTTATGCTGCCTGTAACATCGCTCAACATGACCAGTTTTTTGGTGGGTCAGTGGCAGTCTGGGGAGGCATATCGTACAGACCTCTACTGGCTAGGCAAGGCAGCCTGACTTTCATCAAGCATCAGGATGAAAACCTTGGACCCATTGTCAGACCATGTGCTGGTGCTGGGGTTTCTGGGTTCCTCATGGTGCCCAACAATGCCCAGCTTCATGTAAGAGTATGGTGGCAGTTCCTGAGTTTGAAGGAATTGATTGACCTGCCTCTGTGCCTGCCTGTCTTAAATCCTGTACAACATCTGTCTTCTCATTTGGAGCACCAATGTTGTCAATCATGTATATAAGCATGTGGGGACCATAATAACTATTGAGTACCATCTTGAGTTGCTGTAACTACTGTGCCAAATCACTTTTTGACTGTGATTTTCGAGGTGTCTTTGAATTCAGTCCTCTTTATATTGATTATTTTAATTTCCATCAAACACTGCAGCATCCTTTTGTTTCTAACACATTATATATCCATATCAGTATCTTTTTGAGCAGTGTAAATGACCTTGATAAGAATGAAAAGAGCTGTATTAACGTACTACAAGGAGGTGATATCTAAGGTGATATCTTTCTTCAAACTGGAGTCATACCTGTGTTTGGGGGTTTTAAATCAGTGGAGTCCCCTTGATCACTTTGTTTGGAAGGTGTGTCTTGCTGGGTGGCAAACACGAGTGCCTGATCCTCCCCTGAGATTTTAGCACAAACACAAAGTATCAGTATTAGCTGGTCACAACCACACTACCACTTTACCATTACTTTAGTGGTAATACTGTGAAAGTTATTATAGTTCACCATTAGAGACTGATTATTGAAGCCATAATGTTTCATATTGTTTTGGGCAGCCAGACACGAGTCCCATGGTCAAATACAAAAATATTTGAAGTGAAAAGTTAAGAACTGTTGAATTTAAACACAACAACAAAGGGTTTCATGCATGCCTTAACATATTTATGACACTATACAGTGCTGATTGGCAAAAAACCCTAAAACAGTTTTCTTCAAATTTGAAGGGTTATAATAATAGGCCAGCGGGGGAGCTGGCTCTAGCCCCTCCCTCACAGACACACACTATCTTGGTTGGCTGCTGCCTCTAAACATATTGTGTGTTGTCAGTCTTGTGTGCCGGTCAGTAACATTCAATATTTATTATTTACTGTGTTGTTCTCTTTTTGCTTGTTGTTTGTTTTTCAGCAGGCGATCAAACAGATTTTTAGTGTCGTTTCTCTCTGGCTCTCGTCTCCTGTCTTTTTCTTTCCCTCTCTTTCTGTTGAGTCTCTTTCCAACTTTTCTTCTCTTTGTCTTTCTCTTTCCCGTCTCCCAGTAATGTCCATTCTGATTGTAATAACTTAAAAGTAAAAAAATAAATACATCAATAATATAGAGTGAATAAACTATGATAATCAAGTGGACCAGTATAGGAAAAGCTGTATTGATCCACTTGGGAAAATAAATCTGTTGGGCAT